TTTTTTAAGTGAGCAGATCTTAAATGTTTCACATTTATTTCTCAAAGAAAGAGAACACCAACACCGCCTCACTAGTGTTCAGCTGTCTTTTATTTGGCCCTCTCCTCTACTCCCTGGGTCAATGGCCGGGGCGATTAAGGCTCCACCAGACCTGATGTGTTTGCCCAGAACCCACCTGTCCTGTCCCTCGGCAGGCAAAACCGCAACTTTCCCAGCATCTGCCTGGACTGAAAACACGTCCCACATCTCCTTATTTCCCTCTGGCGAAAGCTCTTTCTGGCATGGAGTGGGGACAGCTAAAGTCTCCAGGCTGCTAATGAAGTGAGGGAAAGTGGAGGTGAGTCAGCCGAGCGGGAAGAAAGCGGACGACGGGAGCGGGAGGAGAGGTAGACGACGGGCCGAGATGGGCGGATGAAAGGAGCAACCGCTCAGCAGTGAGAGGGAGAGGGGAGAGTAAGGCGCCCAGACACCATGTGGACAAGGGGAGAAGAGAAGGCAGAGGTGGCGCGCGAAGGCTGAGCGCCCAGGCACCCAGATCCCAGATCCGGAGAGCCGAGCCAGTGCAGAGGGGTCCGCGGGCTCTGGGGGTGCTGGACGAGTGCGATCCGAGAGCAGATCGGGGCCCTCACGAGCCCCTCCCGGCCCCTGCCCGCGATGAGCGAGGCCAGCCGGCTGTGCTCCGGCTACTACAGCCTCAACCAGAGCTTCGTGGAGCCCTTCCAGTGCCCCCGGCGCGGCGAGGGGGCAGCGCTCCGGTACTGCTGCGGCTTCGCCGACCTCAAGTACTGCTGCAGTGAGCCGGGCAGCTACTTCCCCTACAAGCACAGCTACATGTGGAGCCTCAGGTGGGCTGAGAGCCCGCGCGTGGGGCGGCTGGCCGGGCTCGGGGCTAGGGAGGCGACCAGCGGAGCCGCGCCGGGGCCAGAGAGGTCCTCCGCGACCCGGCAACCTACCCTGGGCTGGGTTCTTATGGAAGGACGCGGAGCCTCTGAGGGCGGGTGAGGGCAGGGAGAGAAATCTCGCCCGGCTCGGACCTGCCCCGGGAGCCAGAACTAGAGGCGAAGAGCGCGCGGGAGGAGCGCGGGCTTTGCGCCCAGGGCGCACTTGAGGCCCGCCCGGCTGGTCCCGCTGGGTTCCCTGCCCGCCTCGCGGGAGCTGACTGCTCTCCCCTCGCCGGGGACCAGTTCCAGGCTGGCAGCTCTAGTGGTGGAGCGGGAGGACAGGCAGATAACCCAAGGGGAAGGTTTAAAATCCTCTTTTAGGTTTGTTTATTTGTTGTATTTGAAGAGAAAGGAGGCTCCTTCGGGGCACTTTTTACTACGTTAACAAGGACCAGAGTATTTTAAGACCCTTTGAGGGGTGTGAAGGAATTGGCTGTATTCTTAAAAAAAAAAAAAAGTATATATATATGTATATACACACACATACATATATTTATATATATACATGTATATATATATAATTTAAAGGGTGTGTGTGTGTGTGTGTGTGCGTGTTCCTGAGGGCCTGTGCAAGCAACTGGGCTTTACGACTTGCCCTTTTCCGAGGATCTGATCCTGACCCTGGAGAGAATTGAGGAGACACCATGAAAGGTACAGCTTTTGGTTGCTATGAATACACACACTCTGTAGAACGGACACCACCTTTCTCGAAACCTGAGCTATTTGGCTATTGCTGAAATGTGAAGAGGCTTTCTAAGGTGGCGTCTTTCTTGTTTCTTTTTCCTATAGTGGCAATTTTATTTTACTTATTCCAACTAGTATTGATGTAGACATTTTCATTATGAATTGCTTTTCCCCCTTCCACTCTGAAGGACAGCAAACTTTAAACTTGATTTTTCATTTTGCTTGGAGAATGAATAGGGTCGGGCTATCAAGGAAAGAGCTCCCACCTTAAACTGTTTTGTACCTATTCATTAGTTTATGAGGTTGGAAGAGATTGATTCTGTTAGTAAGAGATAAAGTATTGTGATTATGTCTCCCATCTCCTACGTGACTCAGAATTTAACACAGGTGCCAAGTCTATAGCAAATTACTGTTACTTCTTGAAGCAATAAAGTATTAATATATTTTTCTATATTGCAAGCATCAAAAAGTCTCAAAAAGAGTGCCTATCTTCCAGTAAGTTCAACTCATAAAGTTGTATTTTGCTGGAGAGGGGCAAAATGTCAGAAAATAGCGATAGCTTATCCTTAGTAGATTACATGGGGAGGAAATCTGTACTGCACTGGTTTATTATCCTGACTTTTGGAAAATAACATAGTAATCTATCTCTGGGTCATTGGAGGCGTTAATAATGGCAGAAGCACCTCCAACAGGGAGGGGCTGGCAACTCCTAAGTCAAACTCAATTGGAAAATGTGCCTGAGATTCTCATATCCCTGAATAGTTCCAAAATGACAAGCAACAGAGGACATAAAACCTTCCTAAGACTTACGAGAGCATAAAGGAATGAATAGCTTGCCGTTTCTTCATTCAGCACTGACAAAATGGACAGTGCAGCCCATTCCTGGGAAACAGAAAAATCACTACAACTGATGTTGACAGTTGACAGTGTTAAACCTGGGGTTCCTGTGAGTTATTGAGCTCTGAGAACACAATAGGGCGTAAATTTATTAGAGCTTCCTTTCCCTCCTATTCTTTGCTCTCCACTCCTAATTTAAAATAGTTCAACTGTGAACAGTCACTAGCCCTTGTTTTGAGATTCTATAGTGGCTGGAGAAAGGCACAGCTGTGGCTATCACAAGGTAAGTCAACTTCCTAAGTTGGAGAATTGCTGCCTTAATGTGACAGCAGCTTCAGACCCCTCTCAAAGCTTGTAAAGCAACTGCCATATGGTGCTGAAGAAAGAATAATTCTTCCTTCCCTGTGCCTGGCCCCCTCCCGTCTTTTCTCCTCCTATGACTCCCTGTGTTCTTAGGATTTTCCTTGGTAACCTTCTCCAGGACTTAGGAAAATAAGGCCTGTTGGACAGGGCCATACATGAGTGGCTATTTAATAAGTATTTATTGAAATGAATATTTTAGGAGCTCCATCTTCACCGGGAGTTTATACCTAGAGTGTGTGCATAAAGCAACATTTCTATAAAGTGAACCATGACATTGAAACTGTTTGTCAGTATTATGAAAAACATTCTTTTTTAACAGAAGGCAGGGATGGCATGCTTTGTTTTAGTTTTTCTTTCAAATTGCATGGTCTGGATTTTTAATCTGTACACTGAAAGCCCACACAATGTATGTGGAAGGTAATTAAACTGACAATTTTGCTTTCAAATAGACTAAATTACTTTTTTACCTTGAAAATTTTTTTAAATAATCGGGTTCTTGTTTGAGGAATCTTTCCAGATGTCTAGCCTCCTATCTGCTCTGTGCACCGGATAATATCAACTGAGTGGATTACATTCCCATGTGTCTGTGTATAGTGAAGTGATCCTAACCTTCCCTGACGCTTAAAATGCACAGGAGTTAGGTTTGTTGCAAACAAGTATAAAAGAGGAGTCGCCAAACAGAGGGAATCTACCTTTTAGATAAGAGCACATCCAATGAGAGCAAACCACAAGTTGAAATATATAACTCTACGGTGACGCTAGCCATAAAATTCCCCAGCCTTCACTCATTTATAGGGCTAATGGAACTGGGTTGACATTAAACCAAGTATAAGAATCTCTGGAAGTCTGACTTGATGTGAGTGGTTCAGGAGGCAATCTGTTCTTTGCAGGGGTGTTCTGTCTCCTGAAATCAAGAGCAAGTGGAGTGAGCTTAGCTCTTTACTTTCAGTTCTGTTCTCCTTCCTGCCAAAGCAACAATGCTCCTGGCATCCCTGGTCAAGTTCTCACTTCCCTCCCTTTTGGCACAGGTCAAACTCGTCACAGTCCTAATCTCTGGGAAAGAGCAGAAGCCTAAAGTCAAGCCAGAAAGATAATGAAGAAAAAGGTCATTACTTTTCAATGGTGTATGTTCCAAATACAGGTAGATCCATCAGCAGTCAATTATTATTTATTTCCATTTATTAAACCTTGTCTACAAGCTAAGCTCTTAAACACTTTGAATAAGTGTTTGCAACACTACTTGAAGTCAACACTTCTTGAGTAAAATTCTGTTCTTGAGTAAAATTGATTAAAATCTGTTTATAGATTACAATCTATTGGTAGATTTTAATTAGAACAAAATATGGCTCAAGAAGTACATGTTAGCATATTAGTCTTTCAAGATTGTTTTCTCCCCCAAGCTCTTTTCCCATTTAGTAGTATTAAGTTCACAGGTTTATGAAAACTGTATTTCTCAAATGATTAGACCTATAGGTAACTGAATCAGACAGAATCATTACAAATTTAAGGTGGAGCAAATACAATCAGATACACATTTTATTTTTAGAGAAAAATACAAGGGCTTCTTCCTTAATGCTAGAAGCGATTGACATCATGCCTTTTTAGAAAAGAAAAACTCAAACTGAGCATGAACTTTATATGAATTTCACAAATACCATTTTTCCTTTAATTCAAATTGTTTTCTCCTTTTTTAAAATAATAGTTTTGGCTTTGAATATCAACAAGTGGCATTTCACATATGTCTTTAGTGCTTTTGCAGAAACAAATATTTTTCTATTCATCATGTATTGGTTTACCTGATCATTCCTTCTCAAATATATTAATAATAGAGGTTTATTTGATGGAGATGTTTTTGAATTATCTCTAGAGAATCATGTGACCTTTAACCTATAATATGAACATATGATATTCCCTATTAATAGTAATTTATAGGCCAGCCAGGCACAGTGGCTCACGCCTGTAATCCCAGTAGTTTGGGAGGCTGAGGCGGGCAGATCACTTGAGGTCAAGAGTTGGAGACCAGCCTGGCCATCATGGAGAAACACCATCTCTTCTAAAAATACAAAATTAGCTGGGTATGGTGGTGCATGCCTATAATCCCAGCTACTGAGGAGGCTGAGGCAGGAGAATCACTTGAACCCAGAAGGCAGAGGTTGCAGTGAGCAGATCAGG